ATCTATACTTTGCTTAAAAAAAAAATATATATATATAATATATAAAAATTTTATATAAGTAATCACAAGTTATATATCACATTGGTATATGTAGAGGTCTTCGTTGTTCTAATCTAAAAACTTAGGTAAGATTTAATTATTCAATAAATCACAAATAAAATATCACACTAGAGTTCATTCTAGAAACTTAAGTTTTAGGTTTTTTTTAAAAGTTAACAATTTTGTAGCAAATAAGTCCAAATTAGAAGTAGTACAATGTAAATTAACAGCCTTAAGCATCCTGACTAAAGGTTACTATTATGATGTCATATGTTCAAGATAAATGACAAGAATATGACAAAATACCAGACAATTTGAAATTTTACCATTCATGAAATTCTCTGTTTGTGAATGGTATATTATTTAAGGATTTTTGTATTGTTGTTCCAGAATCCTTACAGAATGAAATGTTAGGTTTAATTCACATTAATCATTTGGATATTGAAAAATGCAAGGCTAGAGATATTTTGGCCACACATGGGTAAAGAGGTTGCTGATTCAATTGAAAATTGGAGTATCTGTCTGAAATTTCAAAAACTCATGGGTTTGAATAGTATATTAAAATACAAGTTACAGAATGCCACATATTCCCGAAATTTGGCCACGAGCAACGAAGGAGCAAGTGGACAAACGAATGAGTGCGAGAATAGCCTTCTGCAACATGAGTATTATACTATTTTCTCGATTTTGGATTTAATTTTTAATTTTTTAAGTTTCTTGTGGTCTCTGTTAGTTGGGGATTTTTTTTTGCAGAATATGTCATTTGGTAATATTTATTTCCCAATCAACTGACAGGTGGATTCTATTATTTTCATTGAATTATTTTAGAAGGTTTGACAATGTTGAAGGTACATTCTATGGAAGAAACCAAAAGGTATACTTTGAAAACTGATTATCACTAAAAATTGTTGAAGAATGAACTTCAACGATTTTGCGTGTGAGAATAATGACATTCTCACACCAAAATCGAGAAAATTTATTATTGAGAGATGGCCCTGGAAAACCATGGGAGATAGTGGGAGTGAATATTTTTTATTTTGATAGGTAATTTTTCCTAATGGTTGATTATTTCAGCAAATTCATTGAACACAAATACTTAATTAAAATATGAAACGTCTTAGTGTGTTATTTTAGCCCTAAAATCCTGTTTATATTCAGACAATGATCCCCAATTTTCAAATTATAAATTTAAATAGTTTTCCAGAGATTGGAAATTTGGACAAAAGATGTCTATCTAGCCTCTAGCCCTTAGGTATTATGCAAGGTCAAAAAAAAAGAAAGGAGATGTCATAAGAATATCTCTGTTTATTCTTTATGTGGTTGCCTATAAGTAGGTTAGGTTTAGGAGAATAGAGTTGACAGAAGTCAGGACAGAAGGGACATGGATGTAGAGGTTGGAGCATGAACATTGTGTTTAATAAACTGAATGAGAAATTATTATAAACCTGTTATTTTATCAAGAATAAATAAAACATTTCTGTCTGTAAATATAAAGTGAATTAATTGTATTCAATTGTATTGTATTGTATATATTGCACCCAGAATAAAACATATTATCAAACAAATTGAAAATTAACTGGGTGTTGCATTTAAAAAAATGCTATTTGTGTGCATAAGATAACAGTGAAAATATATTAGTGTTTTGTTTTTTGTCCATCCTATCTAAAACTAGGAAAACAATCCTACAGTATGTTTTTTTATTTATTTAAGTAACTTCTAAATATGCAATATGCCAACAAAATAACCTAAAAATCCTAAACGGTTACTTTCAGCATAAAGAAATACATAGGTACACATGGAAAAATGAAACCAGACAACAAAAATCTATTATTGACTACACTATCGCTAAACAGAGCTCGAACATAAAATTCCAGGACGTGAGAGCATATAGGGGAGCGACCTGTGATAGCGATCATTACCTCCTAAAAACAAAAATCTTTATCCCGGGCAGAAACATCGCAAAAGAAAACGGAATGAAAACCCAAGAAGACAATATTGTGCCTGAGAAATACAACCTAAAATCTCTAGAAGAGCAAAGCGTAAAAGGGTTGTACATGAAGAGATTAGATCAAAAATTACAGAGTAGTATGAGCTTCCAAAACCTTGAAATGCATTACCAACATATCAAAGACAGTATTCACAGTGCAGCATTTGAAGCCCTTGGCAAATATGAAAAAAAGGGAAGTAGGCCCACACCTTATTGGTGGGATCAAGAAATAGAAAAAGACATAGAAGATAAAAGGAAGAAATACCAACAGTATCTAAGTTCAAATAAGACACGAGACAAAGAAATATATAAAGAAGCACAAGCAAGAGTACGGAATAAAATTGTACACAAAAAGAACAAGTCATGGGAAAGAAACTGTGCGCATATTAATACTTATCTGGGGGGTAAAAGAAACACAGAAAGTTGGAGATTACTCAAAAACATGAGAAAAACACAAACTAAGGATATTATCATTACAATAACACCCCAGCAATGGGAAGAGTACTGTGAAGAATTACTGACAGAACAGCGGGCAGAGTTTAAAGAAGAGAGGGAACAGACATGAAACATAAAAACTGCAGGATCACCAATACGAGTTATGTAAGAAGAAGTTAAAAAACACTGCGGCTTCTTGAAAATTGGTAGGGCACCAAGCCCAGGAGAAATATATGGAGAACTGATAAAGTGTGGGACCAATAAACTCTACAAACATTTAACAAAATTATTTCAAACATGCATAGATAACCAAGAAGTACCGGAAGAGTGGAAAGTAAGCTATTTAACAATGATATATAAGAAAGGAGACAGAAACAAATGCGAGAACCACCGAGGAATTGCAGTAACAAATACGCTGAGCAGAGTGATTGGAAAACTCATAAAAGCCAGAATAGAGAACGAGTACAAAGATAGTGAGGCAGAAGAACAGGCCGGTTTTAGAGCAGGAAGATCAACTGTAGACCATTTATTCAGTTTGACCCAGGTAATGGAAAAGAAACTAGCCTATAACCAAGAACTCCATTTACTTTTTGTCGATCTAAAGAAAGCATACGACAATGTTCCGCTGAAAAAGCTTTGGGAAGCACTGGAAAAGACCAATATCAACTTAGAACTAATAAAGGCAGTAAAAACGCTCTATAGTGATGCAAAGACCAAGATTAAACAGGGAAACTCAATCAGTAAAGGCTTTATAGCAACTAAAGGACTTAAACAGGGATGCTGCATATCACCAACACTTTTTAAAATATACTTAGAACAAGCGCTCAAAGGGTGGAAAAACAGATGCAGACACATGGGAATACCGCTCAATGAATACAATCTTTATACTTTAAGCTTTGCAGATGATCAAGTATTAATTGCACAGGACTATGATGACCTAGAGTACATGACACGAAAATTGATAGAGGAATACGAGAAATGGGGTTTGGAAGTAAATCTAACGAAAACAGAATATATGACTATAGGAGGTGAACAACGAAATCTGAAATTGAATAACGGACAAGAAATAAAACAATGTTCTGAATAAAAATATTTGGGAATGAAAATCTCACACGAGGGAACCCCAGACGAAGCAATTAAAGATAGGAATATACAAGGACGCAAGGCAATATCCCTACTAAATGGTGTACTGTGGGATCAAAATATCAACAAAACTAACAAAACAAGAATATACAACACCATAGTCAAAAGCATAGTCACGTATAGTTCAGAAGTCTGGCCACTAAAGATCAGAACCACAAAAATGCTGGAAGCAACTGAAATGGACTTTTGGAGGAGATCGGCAGGCAGGTCAAAAATGGAGAGGATAACAAATCTGAGAATTAGGGAGATTATGGACGTAAAACACACAATAATAGATGATATAAAGGACAAACAGCTGATCTGGTTCATACATGTACAAAGAATGGCAGATACAAGAATACCCAAGCAAATAATCGAGTGGAAGCCAGGGGGAAGAAGAAGACGCGGCAGACCAAGAAGAAGCTGGAGAAATGGTGTAGACGAGGAAATGAAGGACAGAGGCCTAGAAGAGGATGCCTGGATTGACAGAGATGGTTGGAGATCGAGAATCAGAAGACGTAGAACGTTATAAACCGATAATTATATATATATACTTCTAAAATGAAGAAACTATGACAGTTTAAAATGTTATCCAGATAAAATGAGCACACTATACTGTTATTGTTGTTACAAAAGTTTAAACCTAGATGCTAATTGAATACTACTATGATTTAGCAGATATAGGCCAATTTTAACTTATGTTAAATGTTATCCTATTCTATAATAGAAGAAAACACAATTTTATTGCAAGTAGTAGGTATCTTCTTTATATACTTCTAGTCATAGAATGTAACAGGTAACTCTTTGATAGGAGAATTTTACTTTTACTGCTGACAGGAAGAAATGCTCTATGCCCTCCGTCAAGCCCTCTATTTCTGACCACTTTGGGGGCTGAAAATGCTTGAACTGTCATATACATACAAAAAACTTTTCCATAGGTTTTTTACAATGTAGATGTAGACTTCATATAGCTGCAAGTGTTTTTTGATAAATACCAAATATATTACAAAATAGATCCTTGGTAGTTGTCTATTTACCTCTATTTAGCAAGAACACAGATGATTGTAGGTACAATACCCAGAAGAATCACTGAGCAATTATGATGATTCATAATTGTTATAATAAGAAGGTAAGAAAGTATTTGAGTGTCTATAAAATAACAACTATTGGAACTTATCAATTAAAACAGAAACGTGAGGTGAGGTTACTAATATTTACAACAACCTTTATTAATAATTGAAGTAAGTTATCTTCCAAACTAAAAATTAATTGCTTTTGTATCCATCAGAAATGTATTTGGTTAATTTTTATTGTATGATGGTCCATAAATAGTTTGGCCTCTATCAACACCTTATTAGACTGAATTTGACCCAAAATACATTTAAATTAAGCTCTAAAATAGTGAAACGAAAGGTACCTGTGTCTCCTTGTTGTCTTCGGCATTTTCCTGTCCCCTTGTTGCAACAGTCATAGTTTTATCTTTTAACGTTGGACTAGACAACCATCTTAAAATAAACTAGAAGAAAATAAAAGCATACATTAGCTTTTCGGACGAATAAAAATAAAAATATGCAAAATAGGAAAAACTCCTGATGAAGTGATGTCAGATTTTAGATCAAAAATAAATGGGAGTGACAGAACTGACAAAGTATCGAATTATTTTGCGAATAGAGGCCGTTTGAAGGCAACTTACCCTAAAGAGTGATGATAAATTGTGTGGAACGGTGTCCCAAAACACGAAGAAAAAAACCGCTTTTAACAAGTTAAAAAAAAAGGGTAGAAAATAAAGAATTTTTTGACAACTATACAAGATCTAAAATCACCGGCACTGTACAAAATGGCGTCGCGAAAATAACGATTGCTATATCGTGAAAAACGCTCCCACGATCTTTTATCGCTTAAATAACAGTCTCCGAATTTTACTAAAAATAAAAAATCGCCATCCTTTTCAACAAATATTTTTAAAATTTCTTGATTGTTGACGTACAGAACTATTTTTTTTTTAGGCACGTCGTGATTTTGCAAATATTCCTAGCCAACGTTGGCGAATCAATATCCCCAGATTTCTGGTTAGTTTTCTTTTCACAGGCTGGTGTTTTTCACGATGTTATGTTGGTACTGTGCTGTGCGAGTGTCTTTCATTTGCGATTGCGAATCTTCAAGAGATTTTCGTTTTCGTTGATGTTTTGGCAACATTGCATTTTTTGGCAGACAAATGACAAGACTATTCAGACAAAAGTCTCGTCACATCACAAATGCGTTTCGTTTCAGCCGCTAGTTCCTTTTTCCGATAACAACTGTCATTACTGAATTTAGACGCCGTTCCGATTTTGATTTTAGCCGCTTTCCAGCCCAGATGAACGAGAACGAGTGTTCCGTCTATTATAACCATATATACTCAAATATAGAGTTTCATTTAAAAAACGATATTTGTGCTTATTATAAGTAATTATTATAGTTCAATTCTAAAAAAAAAATTCTTCCCTCTTTGCTAGAAGCCCTAATTAAATATTCTTCGCAATCAACAAGCGATTTTTGACATTTTTGGTAGTTCGCAGACAAATATCAAAAACACTATAAAAAATAAAATTTGGGACTGTTTTCTTATGAAAAACCATTACCAATAACCTCAATTTCACAAATAACAATAAACTACTGCACTGAGTGCGACACTAGCTTTTTAGCCGGTGGCGCACCAACAGCACTCAGTGCAAAACTCCGTGCATTGCTTTCCCAATGAAATACAAAAGTGCAGCGCGGAATCTGCGAATGGATCACGAATATTGCACCAGTGTTGCACTTGCTCTACCAATAAAATACGCTATTACTTATATCATTTGTATATCATTAGTTATATTCCTTTCAAGAGATTGAAACGCTAGAGCTACTCGCTCCGGTGTTAGTCGACCCGGATTTGAAAGGAACAGATGCGCTGTCTTTCATGCATTTCAAATGGTTTGAGTCGGGCTTGAGCACTTGCCACTTAGGTGCAACAAACACTTTTCGAAAGGAATAAGCGCGTAACGCCCCGGAGCTGTTCCGGAGCTCCTCCTAGGTGTGAAAAGAATACAACTATTGAGAAAGACGGAACCCATGATTTTTCTGCAATTTGTTAGTAATGCAACAAATATGTAGATATATATTTTATTTAAAATAAATAAAAATGTTTCTCATTCCGCAAGAAAATCTAAAAACTTATGACATCTGACATCGTGTCTCGTCTGTCACGTCACTGATGGTCACTTATAGCGTTTTCTGTTGGTAAAACTCGTGCTGCACTCATGCAAAAATTATGTTCTGTTGGCAGTTTCCGAGCGGGTTTTTATGTTCTATTGGAAAACCAGGGCAATCAATTATTGCCCTCGTGCAACTTTTCCAGCACGAGGTCAGAGAGCTCGTGCCAATGTCAGGGCACAACAAAGATGGCGTAAAGTGCCGAAAAGTCTGTGTATGAACAAAACCAAAAAATTATGGATATCGATATTGATAAAATTCTATATTTTTTATCTTCGTCGAGCGACAGCGATGAAGAGGAAGAATTATTAGGTCTGTTTCTGCAGAAATCACAAACCAGTCAGAGTGAATTTCATTGGTTGAAACTAGCTTTCTGACTGTTTCTGACTGTTTTCAACCAATGAAATTTACTTTGACTGGTTTGTGATTTCTGCAGAAACAGATCTATTATTATTATCTACAATCGCAGGCCTATATGATGTATCATTTTCTGTTATTTTAACAGCAACGTCAAAATAGAGACAGAAATAGATGTTGAGCCTTAACACAGACGTTGAAATAACAGGACAGGATACATCATAGGCCTGAATGTTTTCCAGGGATAATGAGATACCAAAAATTCAAAATTTTATTATTGAAATTGACATAAAAAATAATTTCAACGCAGGTATCATTGGAATTATTTCTGCACATCTCGGGAGACAGCATAATTATGTACTTTACATACAGGAAAAACTTCCGTTTTCAACTTTTTCATACACACAAACGTTTTTAATTTTTATTCCATTGAAAATATCTTTAGGTTAGGTTAGCGATCAGGGATCGTTAAGTTAAATAATAAATTTGAAAAGAATGACAAAACGCGCCAAATTCATGTTCTTTTGGGATTGCACTAAACGTGAACTGATTCAGTGTTGAGTGCAGAACTCGGACAGCACGAGTTTTACCAACAGAAAACGCTATTACTATAAATGTTATGATTATGCTCAGATGTTATGTGTCATACTCCCCAACTCCCCCACTATGAAATTCTGGGATACTCGAGGATCAAGAACACTTAACTTCTTCTGTGAGAACAAACCGAAGATCAGCTTTTCTACATTTAAAATCGACGAAAAAATTAACTCACTAACTAGCACATCCTGAATCTGCATTCAGTCGCGGTCTGCAGGTGACGTCATCACTATAAGCTGCTGGTAGTGACGTCACTCGCAGGCCAGGAATCGGATGATGAGGGAGTTAGGGAGGATTTTCATGCATCCGTTTTTCCGTCGAAATATGTCCGAAAAGTCTTCTATTTTGACATATTTATATACGATTATGTCAGAATAGAATGTTAAACGGACATATTTCGTCGGAAAAACGGATGCATGAAAATCCTCCCTTAAGCCTAGTACTCATATAACTGCGAAATTCGCATTTTTTGACATTACATCGACAATTTGACGTTTGATACACGCATAAAACGTCAAATTGTCAACGCAATGTCAAAAAAATGCGAATTTCGCAGTTATGAGTACTAGGCTTTAGGAGAGTATGACACAATTGACACATAACAGCTGAGCACAATCAGTGTTTGATTATGCTCGCGAAAAATTAAAATTGGAATCACAATGCACAATAAAATTATGACTTAAATTTATTAACTGGTTTTATATACCTAAGCAAATTGTGGTGGAATGACAAAATATGACGCAACCGCCTAGCTACCGATTTTGAAACGAAAACTACCGATTATTTCTCCAAGAATCTACCGACTTCATTTTGTCAAAAGTGGCAGCATTGATAGGCCTTATGGCTTTTAAACACCCGACTGACAGGTCTTATCATTTTTCGCTATTTTGGGTAAATCAGTCTTTTCTGTACAACGGATTATAACCGAAGTTTCGCGACGAATGTATTTTTTTTTAGTTCATCCAAGGACGAAATTAGTTCGTCTTTAACGTCATGAGTTTGAAGGCTTGCTACAAGCTGCGTCCAAACTTCCGGCGAACTACGTACACTATGACGTCATGAGTCTTACGCGAAAGCGTTTGTGTTTATGAAATCATGGAAGTAGTTCGTCGCGAAAATTCGTTTTTTTTTTGTCAAATATGACAATCCTTATCGTCATACCTTGCGTTCGGTATTTTGCTCAAAGAGCAGAGCGTGCTGAGTGGGGCCGTAATTACGTGACCAGCGAGCGAACAGAGCAGTTGAACTGTATCAGAGTGCCCGAAATCACTCCAAAATTTCCACCTTTGGAACAGATCGAGATTTCCAGAGTACGTAGAGAGTAATTTTGTTACCAAGTTCTTTTTGTGAAATATGTAGGAGTCGAATCCGCAGTAGAAGACAGTGGGCAAGTTGGAGTGCGGAAAAGACATCGCAGATGCCACAGATTTTTTTACATGTGACATCAAATTGATACATACAGTGAGGACCTAAAATTCCGCCTAGGAGCCAGAACCAATGACATAATTAAAAGGTTTGGACCAGCCCAATTGCACTACATTAGGTAATTTTTCGCGAGGATAACTAAGCATACTCATGTATGCTGAATTATGTAATGCGTTAATTGTGTCATACTCCCCTAACTCCCCCGCCTTCAAATTCTGGGATACTCGAGGATCAAGAACACTTAACTTCTTCTGTGAGAACAGACTGGAAATCACCGTTTCTACTTTTAAAATCGACCAAAAAAAATAACTCACTTACACAGCCTGAATTGCAAGCATTCCATCGAGGCCTGTAGGTGACGTCATCACTATAAGATGCTGATAGTGACGTCACTCGCAGGCATTGGTTGGGGAGGGAAATAAGGAAGTAGTATGTCACAATTGACACAACATCTGAGCTAGGCAGATTATGGGTATGTTCCGATATTAACTGTCAGTACTGAATTTGCTGGACGCCATGCCGATATTATTTTCAGTACACTGGATTCAGTCGATTCAATACTGAATGACCACAAGAGTACGCTGTTGAAAACATCTTTGTTTTGGTTTCACTCAAAACTAGTTCGGAATTATTCTGCACATGCGCGTCTCATAAAACGCGTTTTCGTTTTTTCAGAATCGTAATCGAACTGTGTTGACAGCGTTTTGGAAGCTGTGGTTTTGGTTTATCTAAAACTATTTAAGAACAATTGTAGGATTGCTCTAGAACGATTCTCGCAGTTCTTGCTTTGGAAGGAGGAACTGTTTTAGAATTTTCTGATTTGCGGATCTTCCCACTCCCAGACTCCTTGAAGGTTGAAGGCAATAAATTTAAAACAAAATTACAGCATAATGCACTAGGTATAGTTTTACAAGCTATTCAATATGGTTGAAATATGTAGTGTTTATATTTCTCGGGCACGATGAAGACACAAAAATCCTCTAATCCCTTATTCTGTTTACATTTTTACAGCTGAATTGAGTGATCAAACCCAACTTTTTTCTGCTTGTTTGCCAATTTATATTAATCCTGAAGATTCCTGAGTTTGATTAATGGAGGAATTATTAGAAGTTGCTTTTCTTCCAGACGTAAATGGAGCGTAAACTAATTTTGACGAAGCATAGCGTTACGGTAAGGCATCCGCTAATTCCCTTTAGGTAACGAGCTCCGCTAACGCTAATACCGTAAGAACTGTCATACTTGTCAAATAACGTTACGGTATTTGAAATTTGGACAGTACGAGAACTCTCTATTATGTATTATTCATTTCATTGGTTGAAACTAGTTTTCTGACTGTTTTCAACCAATGAAATTCGCTCTGACTGGCTTGTGATTTCTGCAGAAACAGACCTATTATTCTACTGATCATCCATCAATTTTACGATTTTCTTACATTCCTTCACCATAACTTTGAACTTGATAAGTTTTTCCTGATATTTCGCTTGAATTTGTTCAATTTTATCCAATTTTGAAGTCTTCCTCAATGGTTTTCAAATCTTTCTAGTGAATTTGTTCGAGAGTTTTTGTTCAGATTTTCTGTTAACCCATCTAAAAAATCCTCACCGGCGTGGCGAGTAGTCTGCTTCCGATACAACTTCATATTTATTTCATTGAAAGCTGTGTAATTGATATATTATTATTAACAGCACTTTGTAATTCAAAATTATCATCAGTAACCATAATTCGTTGTTGTTTCTCATATGGGGGTATATGGAATACGGCATACCCGAGGCATACCATTGAGGTAGCGGCATACCGCTTGTTTGAAAGAGGTAGGTTGCCTGATAACTATTATGACGTCACCTGGGATACACCATTACCAGAGATATGTGGGTACATTGGGTACATTCAGGCGGTGCCAGCGGCTCAGCAGGGACTTTATTCTCGAAACCGAGGAACAGCGTTCTCATAAGAACGATTGCTCTCTCATTGTCAGTGTTATGGAAATATGAATACGGGCGACAAAGACAGAACCTTCGTTCTTATGAGAACGCTGCTCCCTCCCTGCTGAGTGGCTGAACTTAGCCGCTGGCACCGCTTGAATGTACCCATTGGTTAGGTAGCTTTGAGTTTTCCCTTCCTGCTCAGAAATCGTTAGCGGTTAACAAAATTTCTTTCGAAATGTGTTCCTCGAACAAAGTTTTAACTTGAATTGCGCTTGCAAATAGTTCCGAATAGGTTCTGAGTTCTGAATCTAAACCGAGAACTAGTTCTATTCCTTCCAAGAGTTTGAAAGGTCATTGGTTTGAAACCCTCGAGCTACTCACAAATATGATATGTCATGCGGTGGGAAGTCAAATCAACCAACAGGATCATTATTCGCTTTCCGCAATTCCCGATTCTCAAGTATGAACTAAGCTTTATTAAGGAATTTTTACAGATACCTATTTTTTAATTTTGAGAAGGAGGCCCGGCAGGGCCTCCTATGTTCCGGGGCCCCAGCGCTTCGCGCTCTCCCGCCCATCGATAGCTACGCCACTGGCTACTCGCTCCGGTGTTAGTCGCCTCCAATTTGAAAGGAACAGATGCGTGGTGCAACCAATGAACTGGTGCAACAAACACTTTGCGAAAATGAACTATAGTCAAAAACTGGAATGCTCACACATTGCCATATCTGCCAAAAAAATGTAGCCATCAAAGACAGATGCCACAAGGGGGAATGTTGTTTCTTTCTGTTGCTCGCTGACATATGACGTCTTGCAAGTTTTGTCATATTTACCTTCACAGGTTTCATCAATTGGAATACGTGTTGGAAGCAATTTCCGCCATTTAACATAATGAGTGCGACAAAAACAGGTATCCCCTACGCAGCAGCGGCACTAGGCTTCACGTTCGTCAATATGTGTTCGCATTCCAGTTTTTGGTTATAGTTCATTGGTTCCCACAGGAGTCTGACAGTTTGCAACCTATCAGAAACAATCGCTCAGCTGAGTTACAGATTTTTATAACGACAGCATTGAAAACATATATGGGCGATGCTTGCTGACAGCTTGCAAACTGTCAGATACTCTTGTGGGAACCAATGAACTATAAACTACACGTATCTGGAACAATGAACTATAAACTACACGTACCTGGAATGGCCCGGCCTATCTCTAAATTGCGGCAAATTGAGATGGAGAATGTAGGGGATTCCTATCTCTATTTACCCTATGGGTCACTTATGAAAATCTTTCCTTGTCTAAAAAATATTAAATTTGAGGTTAGGAATATACACCAAACCTAACAGCAATGAAATAGAGAGAGAAAGGGATCCCCCACTATATAGCTTTCTTTGGACGCACTAAGAGAGATGACAAATGCCATCCAAATGCCATATACGACAACGGTCGGTGCCATTCCAGGTATTACGTGTGGTTTATAGTTCATTGCATGTAATATTGACAGTTGAGTTGAAGAGGGCGCTTCTGTACTTGGAGCTTTTTAAATTTTGGCGCATAAATAATCGAATGAAGTTTTAACCTCAAAAGTCAAGTTTGATGTGTCGTTTCAACACAAGCTGACGCTGAAAATAATCTTTAAGGACCACTGAACGTTTTGAAAGATATTTTAACTTATTCACTGTTCATTGTTCAAATGTAGTCATCTTTCCTTCTACTTATTAAAACGGTTTAAAACTATTGACATTTACCGCCAAAATTCAAAGCAGTCCAAGTTCACTCACGCCCTCTACAAAATTTCGGGGAACTTAACTGGATATTTGCTGCCATTTCGCGCAAGTGAGAATGAGGGCGAATTGACCTTTTGTTTCGACGCCATATTGCGGTGCGCGAACATAGTTGCCAAAACAAGAAAACCAAAAATTACTAGCGGGCTGTCAACTAGATATTTTATTATTTCTATTCTGCCCAATACAACCTAAAATTGATGGCTTTTCTTTCCAAAAACATTCGTAATAGGCGGCAAATTTAAATTTTAAATGTAATTTATTCACTAATTTTGGATTTTAAAGTTGACAGAACGCTAGTAATTTTTTTTTTCTACTGTTGGCAACTATGTTCGCGCACCGCAATATGGCGTTCAAACAAAAGGTCAATTCTCATGAGCGTTAGTTGACATATCTGGCGTAATCACGTGATAAAATGGTTGGGTTTTATTGGAAAAATATTTGACATGTTGGAGATTTTACCAATCAAATTACACCAAATTATCACGTGATTACGCCAGAAATGTCAACTTACGCTCATGAGAAGTCGCCCTCAAGGTATAAGGATTAAGGGTCGATTCACACATAGCAGTGACGCGACAGTGCTGTGACCGGCACATGATTTTACCGGCGAAGTCAAAATTATTCTCGTAGCAATTTGTTGGTTTGTTGGAATCTATTCCCATCTGTCCGACGCGCGACCGTGACAGTGCAAACAGTGCTGTCGCCGGCACCGTAACATGATCTTTAATTATAGTTTCTGGCGATATTTTTGGGATTTCACGGCCGTACAAATTGAGTTGGTCCATGGGGTTATCCAGTTTTGTATGACCTGTGAACTCAAAATACATGGACTCTGATTTAAATAATGCTATCTGTAAGGGTGTCATGCTTTTTCAAATGAATTTTTATCTTGCACAACAATAGGGTTGAACGAATTTTTTGAAATCCTCAAGTATTCAAAAAATTTTGCTGCTTTGTCTACTTGTTTTGTATAATGTTATAAATTCCCTTTCTATACCTTTCTTTTTCCATGCAGGATGGAACCAATGTCGTTTTTCTACCTGTTCTTCTACTTGTTCTTCCATTTCTTCGTCCTAAACCAGTGCGATCTGCAAAAGTTCTTCATCTGAAAATATTTCGATTTGGCTATAAACTATATTGACACGGCACTAATAAAACACTGACCAATATGAATAGAAATCACGGTTTAACTAACCGGGTTACATAACGGTTAGAGAAATGACATACCGTTCTCTAACCCGGTTACAAAAGCCGCTTTCCAGCGGTGTGCTTCAAGCACGGTGGTGCAGCACAGTGTTCTGTGTTTGAAACGCAAAAGTTAGCAGGCTCTCGAAGCGCAGCACGGCTGGAACACCAAAACGCGCTTGAAGCATTTGCGCGCGCAAAAGCTCGATTGCGTGCTCAAAAGCGTTAGCTGGAAAGCGGCTAAAGTGACGTGTGGGTACCTACCACTCGAATTTGAGCGGTATGTTGCGGTTTGTTAAACCGGGGCCACGTGGAAAGGGTTTATGTATTAAAATTTCGTGGCGTTGGCAACACTGACACTGACACATGTCGATTAACACATGTTCATTTATCAAAACAACTATCCATCCAATCCAATGATCAAAAACTCAAATATTTCAAATTCTATTTTTGCAAAAACAAATAATTACTTCTCCATTTAAAATTTTAGGAAGATTGCTTGAATTCACGCAATGGTAAATAACATAATAACTTAATTAGCCAAGAAGATAAAAATTCAAACAATTGTTAAATTTTCAGAACGGTGTAATCTTGGCAGGCCTAGGACTGGCCGTTGTTGGTTTCGGGGCCCGATACGCCCTACGTCAATTGCCCAACGCTACGAAAACGTTCAACGAAGCCATGAAAAATTTACCCAAATTCGAAGAGTCTGCTGCGAATGCTAAATATTACAAGGGAGGATTCGATCAGAAAATGAATAGGCGAGAGGCTGCATTGATTTTAGGTAATATCAAATATCAATTTTTGATTATTCTGTTTGATTTGTGCCGGGAATATTTACTCACTACTCAATAGGCTCTCTCCTCTTTCACTAAAATTTAGAAACATAATTCAAGCATCTTCTACCAATTAAATTTAAGAAGACTCCATCGGCAAACCACGAACAGCTGTTGCGGTTGGTGCTAGTAAAAGTTTTGATTGTGCTATTGCCAGTTAGTTGCGAGTGGCTTAGGGCCGGTGTATTCACCTTCCGATAAACTGTCAGGTAGGTATGCTGTCTGAGGGATAAAAACGCAATCTGTGATCTCATTGGTCGGCCAGTTGTTTGTACAGAACGTAAATGTATCTTGCAGATTGGTACCAGGAAGTTTATCTGAAGTTGAATAAACTGGGTCTAAATGTAGAGTGTAGGCAGTGGACATAGTGAGGATTTTCTCAAAAAGGACTCAAATTATGTCAATTTCAGCAATTAGTGAAAGAGCGCCCTCATTAATTCATCAATTTAGTAACTCTTTAAGAGAGCAAAGTAAACTTTTTAAGAAACCAACAAGAAATAAATTACATTTTTTCAATTATTGTTCCAGGAGTCAGCCCATCTGCAAACAAAACAAAAGTAAAGGACGCCTTCAAAAAAGTAATGTCCGTTAACCATCCAGACAGAGGCGGTTCACCCTATTTGGCATCTAAAATCAATGAGGCCAAAGATTTCCTGGAAAAACACTCTCGGTAAATCAGAATTGTATAAATTATATTTAGCAAATGTACAAAAAATATAAATAATAGATGTGTGTAAAGTGTGTATATTGAACTGACTAGAGTGTAGAATATAAAATATTCAATTTTGTTCCTGAGTTTATTCTTTGCCGTGTTTTATTCTTAATTTTTGGATAGTCCTGTTGGAGAGACTACCGGAAAGTGTAAAAATATCCTAGAAAACAATATAAGATTATCATTAGGTAGATATACCGGGTGACAATGAAACTACTACCCATGGCAGCATTTCTTAACGGCTCGAGATAGAAATATGCAACTCGGTTTGTTGATAGGGTTGAAAATTGTGAACAATTTTAATATAAAAACAATTATGTCTTTTCCGGTTATGCCGGAAATGGCAGTTTTTACGTAAAATACAAACAAATAGGAATTACGATATATTTTTGAGCCACTCTATTCAAAAACTATCAATTTTTGACATAGGGTATGTTGGACAAAAGCTATTTAGAATTGTTCAGAGAATCCAAAAAATATATATATATACAGGGTGTCCCATTTAAAATAACAAAGTCAATGCCATTTCCGGTGAAACCGGAAAAGATATTCAATTATTTTTATATTAAAATTGTTCACAATTTTCAACCCTATGAACAAACCGAGTTGCATATTTCTATCTCGAGCCGTTAAGAAATGCCGCCGTGGGTAGTAGTTTCATTGTCACCCGGTAAACTGCAATTTCAAAAAATCATATTATAAGATTTGAGCCATCACACTGTTGCATGATCATACAACTATCTCTGAAATGTGAATGGATCATCTGAGATTGAAATTTGTTACTCATTAATGATTTTTTTTGACTCCCAAATGGCGTTTTACCTTCAATGTTGAATGTAAAAACCAGAGACTTATCTTTCTTTAAAAAGAAATATCACTAGCATTGATAATCAAGAAAAAAATAAATAAATTAGTGGCTGAAAATCTTTCTAGATGTATCATCTACGTACTCGCATAAATTCGTGACAGTTGATAACCCTAGGATGATTTTTCATATTTTTAAAAACAGTCATAAGCTCGCTCAAGTCGCTGGTTTGCAAAATATCCTCTTTGTGCAATTTGATTAGGGCCAAAGCTACACGAAATAATATTTTGGAACCTTCAAGGAATAAACAGTCCCATATTCTGAGGACGGTTTCAGTCGGTAGGACATCAGCATAAATGCAAATAAACCATTTTGTTGTGCCCATCGCCCAAGGCATACCAACATTTAATATGTGCCTTGAATATAAGTATTATTTATGGTGTTTTTTAATTATTATTTTCTTACCTATGGACTATGGGTTCGCTTTTTTTGACTAGTTCATTTAATACTTCTAAATCGGTCAATAGCCCAGACATGGTTCTGATGTAATATTTTGGTAATATTTGTTCTACTAATGTTTTTAGTAACCAAAATGTTGTCGATTCGTCTTTGGTTGCTAGCAGAATTAAACCTAAAAGAGATGTCTATGTATTAATTTTTTAGTTTTTTTTTTATGTAGCAATATATTGAGATTGAGAAACATTTTTTGGGACAAGTAAATTCCTAAGGCACTCCGAAATATTTTTTCAGGCTCTCATATACAAATTTTTCATCAATCATTTGACTTATAACCTTTTCAATAAAAATAATGTTCAACCCAATTTGTTATTGACACCAATTAGACGCACCTTAAGTATTTCTTAATCTAACATCAGACAAACATCCAGACAGCACATTATTATTAACCAACATTTAAATTGTAAGGGAGAAGTAGAATTCAAAAATTTGCTTATCCATTACCGATCTCGATCAGAAATTTATTCCAGTTACATCAAAATACTCATACCCATACCTGCAATATAATTTAATCCTTGACAATACCCAACTTCAGAATTCTGATGCGCAAACGTTGCCAAAACATTATACAACATGCTAGGAAGGCTTTCTTCGTTCAGGAAGAAAATATTATCAGGAAACGTGCGAGGCAAATCGATTTTAATTGTCTCGATAATTTGCGAGTTGATGTTTGCCTTTCTCATTTGCTGATACGTCATGGCAGTGCCGGATTTCAATCGATCAGCTCCAGATATGGACATCCAACAGGCGGCTCGAAAATCTGCTGGTATTCCTTTACGGACGAATCGTTTTAGGGTGGAGCCTTTTCCGAAATCGCGCGTTCTGAACGTGCTGTCCCATCTTTGTGCTCTTCTTGTTAGGGTTCTCATGTACTGTGACATAAACAGGTCGTATGTCTTGTAATCGAAATTTTCGCCCCTTTCAAAACCATATTCGTCAACTTTGCTGAAAAAAATAAATACACAATTTTATTGTTTGTTTATTATTAATCCAGCAGTATGTAATACAATCTGGTCAATAATACACCTAAATGATCTAGTAGCTAAAAAGTTATTATTATCATTATTCTGTCCATTAGCAGGCAATAGAAACTGATGAGGCTATTGCCAAATTGTCTAAGTACACATATTTGACGTATTGCACTATAAAAGAGAAGGCTTTCTCAAAAAACTATTTTTTATGGTCCATAATGCACTAGTCTTGAGGTGAATTACTCTTGATCAAGTCTGTTTTTGGACTGATTCACACTAGACGCACCAACAGTATCCTGTTCCATGTTCCATGTATGCACTATTCAATTAGTAATAAAGTTTTTTCTAGGAAATGTGTGTTAAACGGCACGAATAATAGTCATCAGTTAGGTATTTTAAAAGTTTCGATTGAATCACCTCGCATCGTCTCTGCACTGTCTCCAAGGCCTTGATATCCTTGGCATAGTAGGGATTCCAGACGCTTTGAGCATATTCTAACTTGGGTCTTATGTAGGATTTATAGAGCAAATTAATGGTATTTGAAAGTTTTCCGAATTTATTTGCTTTTTTGATTATCTTATTGATATGCTTCTCCCATACAACTCCTGACCGAACTCCTGACTGTGTCTATATCTAGTCGGAAATGGAACCATTTATCTCTTTATACATATCTAGGAAATCCTCAGTTTTTTTGTCTGACCCATTAACTGAAATACTAGGCCAATTTATGAGAGGAAAGTTGAATTCTCCAAAAATGAATGTAGGGTTCTCGGTAGAAAATGCACTCTTAACTGCCTTAATCATTTGTGAATTGCAAGTTTTGGTGGTATATCCAGCTCTATAAATACAAGCAATGGTCATCTTAATTGTGCCTATTTTAACATCTAACCAAACTGAATTAGCTGGTGGTTCTATATTTGATTTATCTGACAACTTTGCATTTACTTTATGTCCACCCAAATGACTTTTAACATAGACAAAAACTCCACCTTCTTTCTGATTCATGCGATCTTGTCGAAAATGGCAATATTCATCCAATTTAATAAAGCTGTCTGTTAAAGATTCATGCAGCCATGTTTCTGTTATCAGAATAAAAGTGGGTGGAGAAGCAAAGTTAGGAATGCGTATTTTAAATTCATCTGTTTTATTTACAAGAGAACAGAACAAAGGTACATAAAGGAAACCTCAAACACCTCTTCGAATTTTAATTTTTTAAATGTCTGTCAGTTACAATAGTTAGAATACCTCTTACATATTTTATGATTAAATTTTGTTCACCTCCGCTCTTTTCTTTTTTCTTTCTCTAATTTTTCTATAACCTGCCTTAAATAACTTCTATGCATAAATGTCTGATCATTTCTCATGTACGTTCCAGTTTGGTCCTCCATTGCTTTTCTGTTTCTCAGCACTTGCAAAGCTTCTTGCTTTGAAGATAAAATTACTTTGATTGGCTGCTGTATAATTTCCAAGCCTAATAATTCTTGCTGTATCAGGTAGAATTTGCTTCATTTTGGTGAACAAAATAAAATTACTTTTTCTCTATCATCTTCTTTCCTTCCTGCCTCTTTATTCTTTCTGGATTCCTCCACTCCAAACATTAATACATTGGTAGCTCTTTCCTCAATGGTTTCCAAAATCCCCATGTAGGTACTTCAAGTTATTCTGATCACCCTGTATAAAATGGTGTAAAAAATAAGGTAGTTGGTTTGGTTACCTTGTAGAAATCTTGGTTTGTGTTATTCCCATAAAACTATTTGTCCAGCACTTTTTGTGTGTAGGTATGTCAATAAACTGTCATAATGAATGCATAACTCACTAATTTTTATTATTTCTTATAGATCTATAAAAGTTTTATGGAACTGGAACTTTTTTGGGTAGTAGTACGACATTGTATAATAGTTATTTACATAACAAGTGCGTTTATGAACATGATTACAATAACGAGTGTGAACGATTAGAACGACGAGGTCGTAGACCGAGTCGTTCTAATCACACGAGTTTTGTAGTCATGTTTAAACGCACGCACGTGTGATGCACAACATTTTATCTACAAAGCGAAAAATAAGAATGTTTTTTTTCAATGATTTTCGTTTATTAGTAGTTGTTTATCTTCATTTTACCTTTACAGGTTTACCTTTGACCGAGCCTTTGACATTTGTCAAATCATCAGCAATAGTTGTGTTATAGATTCATAACCTCGTCCATAACACCACTAGGTGTGTTATGAGTCTCATGACCTAACTCAAATACTAGAAAAATGGTTATGTAAAAACGCCATAAGCTTCTGAGAGTATAATTACCTTTAAAACATTACATTTTGAACTTCGTTGACCAATCAGAAACAACTACTCCGAGGGCAAATACCCCTACCGGCGTTGAACTACACTGATTGGCCTGAGCTTTCATTGGCAATGAAAATTGTTAGAAAGTTTTCCCAGGTAATGACCAACGTAAATTCAGGGACACAACGGTCCCTGTTTGGGAATCGACCCACTGAACAGTGGGCCCAGACTTCCCGTGCCAATCCTTGACGCGTTTCGTCCTTGTTAGGACTCATCAGAAGGACATAGGCTGAAGCTCCCTGTCCAAGCAAAATTGAACTTCGTTGACCAGTCAGAAACAACTACTCCGAGGGCAAATACACTGATTGGCCTGAGCTTTCGTTGGCAATGTTCAGTGTAGTTCAACGCCGGTAGGGGTATTTGCCCTCGGAGTAGTTGTTTCTGACTGGTCAACGAAGTTCAATTTTGCTTGGACAGGGAGCTTCAGCCTATGTCCTTCTGATGAGTCCTAACAAGGACGAAACGCGTCAAGGATTGGCAGGGGAAGTCTAGGCCCACTGCTCAGTGGGTCGATTCCCAAACAGGGACCGTTGTGTCCCTGAATTTACGTTGGTCATTACCTGAAAAAACTTTCTTACAATTTTTATTGCCAACAAAAGCTCGGGCCAATCAGTGTAGTTCAACGCTGGTAGGGGTAGAGATGGCAAATTCTCGAGAATTTATTTTGAGAGAATTTTCTCGGAGAATATTCGGGAACATTGGAGAATTTTGGAGAATTTTGAAGAATATAGCTTGTTAACATCATTCGGGGCTTTTAAACATTTTGGGATATGTTTTATTTGTCTAGTTGCATTTTTTTGGTACACAACAAAATCAAAATACAGTACAACCCCGATTATCCGAGTCGCAATTATCCGTGCTCTGGATTAACCGAGCCAGTCAAAAGACCCAATAATCCTGATTATCCGAAGTACGCACGTGACGCACGTCTATACGTGACGCACGTCTATACTCCGTATTAACTGAGTTTGTAGAATATAATATACCTACATATACATAGGTATATGTAGATTCGGATTATCCGAGTTTTCAGTTATTCGAGGTGGGTACCCCCCCACGTTACCTCGGATAATCAGGGTTCTACTGTATTTACATTGAAATTTCTTGTCCTTATTTTGTCTGAAATATTTCCATATCAAGCTTCTAGTTTTCATTTTCGAAGGAATTTCCTCAAAACGAGTCAAAATTAATATTAAGGCCGGGTTTATTCATCTTTTGATAAACTTGCTGCTAATTATCTGCGAGATAAATTGACCGTTTTTTTAATTCTATTGATTGGCGGATAACTGGCCGACCAATGGGACTGATGGGAGATCGCATTTCTATCCATTAGATTGCATACCTGACAGTTGACAGTTTATCATATATGGGCCTAGTTCGTTTTTGTCATCTTTTTCGTTGATTTGCTCTGAAATTTCGACAGGCACGTGATTTATAAACTGAAACTGTCTTATCCAGTCACGTGCTTGTCAAAATTTCGGAGCAAATCGACGAAAAAGATGACAAAAACGAACTCGGCCATAATACCACAAGAGAAAAAATTTTGTTGGCAAAATTTTCGACTGGTATGAAAGTTTGTTACTTGGCAATTTCGCGAATGACAAAATGGAAAATTTATTTTCTTTAGGTGACACTTGTCAAATTCAATAGTTATTTACCTTAACCACACAAAATTTTATCATATATTATATCACAAGACCTTCAAATTTAATTGATTAAACTATGCAACATATTTTGAGCATGATTTTGCTTGGAAAATAGTTGAATGCACAATAACTTAATAAAAGCTCAAGACCGCGAAGCGGTCGAGGGCTTTTATTTAAAAGTTATTGTGCATGAAACTATTTGCCAAAAAGCAAAGTTGTGCGAAAAATATTTGGATAGTTTAATCCATTTAAATTTCTAGGTCGAGTGATATACGGCTAGATTATTACCTGAATAATTATTAGGATTGAAGCCACAAACAAAAAGTTCTATTTTTTATTATAAAATGTCAGAATATTTCTATCAAAATTCTGTCAAAAAAGGTAAACAAAAATTTAATCGCTGATAAACAGGTCTTGTGAAATAATCACTTATTTAAACAAAATTTATTCAAAAAATGACGTTGATTGGTCTATTTTATAATGAATGAAATAATCTCTGAAAAACCATCATGTTGGCTTTGCCCAGGTAGGAACAGGTAGAAGTTTTGTCAGTAGGAAACCGGCCGTTCCTATGACATTTTGCCAGTGTAAAACCACAGCTAAAACACTCTAGTAAAATAGTCAGTGAATAAACCGGCTTCAAATAAGTTATATATTTCTTTGCACACACTCTGCACATTGCGGGGACAATGAAATAACTTATGGCTTATGGCGTTTCCGGTTGGTACATAGGAATAGTACAAAGGAAATGTGTTTCTATCTGTTTCTTCAACAGGTTGAGAGAAAGAGCTGGAAATACACTCAGTACTCAGTAGCACCAGTGCGCATTAAATCTAATCTACTAATCGATAACCCCTATGGAATCGGAGGATTTACCGGATTCACCCGGACTCACTGTTCTCCATTTCAACCTAATCTCACTACTAACCTAGCGCTATCTGTTAAGGTTTAAAGTCAACCCCCATTTTCTGAACCTTGTGTTCAAA